ACTAACTAGATATATTTTGTATGATGTGCTTGTGTGTGTGTGTGTATGTGTGTGTGTGAGTATCAGTGTGTGCATGTGTGTGTGTGTGTGTGTGTGTGTGTGTGTGTGTGTGTGTGTAGTCTGACTAGTGTGTTTTACCACTACGTATGTATGGTGTGTGTTTATGTCCGTGGGGTTATGATTTGTCAAGTGCTGGCTTAAATTTGGTTATGAAGTTTTTTTCTTGTATTAATTGGTAAGAAAAACTGATATATATATAAAAATATATATATATATATATATATATATATATATATATATATATATATATAAAATAGGAAAAGAACTCGTTAGGTAAATAATCCAAAGTTCTTTAGTAATTTTGTTATTATTTCTAAAAAAAATATAGTGAGAGAGAGAGAGAGAGAGAGAGAGAGAGAGGGAGCGAGAGGGAGAGAGTGATACAAACGCATTTGAATGAAAGAAATGTCAAGGTCTGTCTGTTTAATTTTTTATTATATTTTTTTCCAATTTTAGAATAAGGTGTTGGGTATTGTGGTCGAAATTTAATAAAATATCATTAACGGCAGGAGACGGTATCTTGAAGTGCATTTGATATAATTTATGTACGCAGGTATTATATTCGAATATGAAATATAGAAATAAATTAATAAAAATAATATATAATGAAAAAAAAATATAGACAATAAAGTAAATAAATGCCAAGGAGAAATTTGACCCGGGGCGGGGGGGGTGACCCATGCTCCTCCCTGATCTTTTGAACAGGAGTAGAGGTTTATCCCTTGTTACTTGTTTTGGTCCCTTCTAAAGTCTACTTCAACTTCTGATGTCTCGATCTAAACTCGGAATCAATAAATAAAAAAAGAATAAAATTATCATTAAATATATAAGAATATTTAAGAATATTTAAATATATAAGAATACATATATATATATATATATATATATATATATATATATATATATATATATATATATATATATATTTAAATATATAAGAATATATAAGAATATTTTATTATTGTTGTTGTGAAATATGGAAGAATATTTAAATTATTGTTGTTAAATATTCGAGAAAATAAATAATACAGGAAGAAATTCATTACTCCCAAAAATAAACAAAACAAATAGCAGTCAGTGAATGAAACTGAAATCATCAGTAATATTCATTAAATAAAAAACATTAGGAAAATTAACAACAAAGTGGAAAAAGAAAAACTTCCCTGTGACGCGGTTCGTCTCTTAAAACGTCATCATGCTAAATCGATACTGAAAAAACAAACAAAAATCCTAATATGTGATTATGCTGTTTTAATGTTTAATGTCAACGTCGGACGTTTCGGTCTAATAGACCATCTTCAGGACATATTCATAAAACATAATTAACATAGACCATATACAATTCAACAGGAAAAAGACGATGGACATAAAAACAATACCAATCCAAACAGAAAACTGAAATCTTTTATAAGATCAGCGTTCCGTTTAAATATGATCACGTCGTCGTCACGTGGGCGATGTTGTGAAAACGTATTCCTAAAATTTGAGTATTTTGAATGAAAAACGAAAAGAATTTTATTTTGATCTAAAACTTATATGTGCGTTTGTCGAGCATTAATCTTGCTAGAAAAGGGGAAATATTAAAGAAGCCAGGTCTAGTGTTCACCGTGCGTGAGATTTTGTTTGTTTTTTCAGTATATTTTTCTTCATACTGTCGGATCTATATCCATATATTTTCTTACATATATATATATATATATATATATATATATATATATATATATCATAAGAATTCATCGAGCAATTGCTGATGGGTCCCAAGAGAATGAAACGGTCGTCCATTGCTTTCTGCATTCTGTTGAGGATTCTTGTTCTAAGCTCGATGAATTATTATGAGAAATTATTCAAATCTACAAACTCCATCACTTATACATACATACATTATATATAATTTCACCCCAAACAAGGCAATAAAGCCTATCGGACAATATAAGTAAAACTACTAATAAGGTGAGAAAACAATAAAAACAAAACCAAAAAAAAAAAAAAAAGAAAAAACAAGAATTATGAAGACAGAAGATAACGATTGACATTGCATTTACATTTTTGAAGATCAAAGTTGACTGAAGCAAGAATTCAGAAGTGTGTCCCACAAGCGAGAAGTGCGATAGAAGGAACTGTTAGGATAGAACTCACGGTTAGGTCTGGCCATTTCAACTCTAGAATGAAGAGACCTTGCTGCCTATCTAGTACTGCGTTTAAATTTATAAAGTCTAGGTACCATAGGGGAAAGTTCACTAAAATGATTACCATGAAATTGTTTGTCACAGGGAAGCTACGTTATGGCTGTAGGAAAGGCACTGGACCCGGGATGCCAGGTCAGGATCAGTAACATTGCAGATTCTTCTTTGTATTTTATCAAGAATATATGACAGGCGCACCAGACGAGATGTGGTAGCAATATTCAAAGCAAGGAAAAATGGTAGATGTAAAAATATGTAAAATAGTTTCTGGCACGACACTGTGAACCAATTTTCTTATATGCAGGCTTAGCAATTGATTTAATATCCTCTGTAGACTTTATGTCAGCTGCAAACGTTAGTCCGTGAATGCGCAATGAGTCAGTTTCCTTGAGGAAGATAATAAGGGTTTTCTTAGTTGGTTAAAAGAGAGCAGTTTCGTTTTTGAGGCGTTAAAATGAACATGCCACTCCTTGCCCCATTTAACAACAGATTGTAGGTCATCTACCACTCTGACTTACTATTAAGACAGGAGTAATTACCTGTCATCGGTATATGACTACACGTGTACACAAAGGACAGATGACGCTGTAGTTTTAATCTTTTAAATTATTTCTTCCTCAAAATATGCGTTTGGTTATTGTTATATACCTATAAACACTAATGGGTATATCTCAATCCTCATAAATACATTGGACGCTATTGTAAGTGGAGCGGGAATATGGTGCCTATGTAGTCTACCACTAGCAGTGGTTTACCTACGTCACGCCGCTGGCGAGTATTGTATTTTGTTGACTAGCAGCATGACCCGGCGTTGATTAAAAAATCGTACGACATACAGCAATCGCTATCACTTGACTTAAAATATTTTTGCACTTCCTTGCCTTTAAAGGAGTGCCCTTTGCCGTGCTGATGTTGCTACATGCCTTACTTCTTGCCTATCTCACACTGCGAATTTTTTCTAAGCTCTATACTAAACATTACGAAAAAAGAACTAAACAAAATGAACACAAAACGATCAGCTTTAAAAAAGGACTCGTAACTGGAAAAACCGAATGAAAAAAGAATGTTAACAACAAATGCATTTTCACACCCAACCCAGTTCTGTGGAATCAGAATCAACGTTGAGTTTAAGCAAGCGAATGAGCCAATTGGAGTAAAGTGCCAAGCAGATTTAAATTTTTCCCACATGTGACGAATGCAGCCATCGATTTTTTTTTTGCATGCTAGTTAACATTCGTGTCAGTCAGCTGTTGGCTCTCACGCTGGCCAATAGAATCTTCCTGCCTATTCGTAGCAGCCAGCTCTTGGCTCTCACTCTGGCCGGTACAAAATGGCCGCAAACTACACGAAAACTGCCGTAGAAGCATGAACAAATCGATTATTTCCACTATCGATGGGAGTTGGGAAATGCAAGGTCGGTCTTGGCGTTTCGTTAACTTGGAGCATGTGCATGTAAATTTTGGTGCAAATCCGTCGAAAATTGCGGCCGTGCATTCGTTACACACACACACACACACACACACACACGCACACACACATCCTGCGTTTTATAGATAGAGATGTTATAAAGATTACCATTTCATTTCCAACCTCCGTTTTGGTTATTCCTCATTCAGTAACCTTTTCTAGGTTACAACAATTATATTGTTAAATGATATTTTCGAACTATTTTTTTAGTCGCAGCGTTATTTTGGCTCAGATCTCCTGAGGCTGACCTTTAAGGTCAGATCGTAGCCAAAATAAGAATGTCGATTTTGACTGACTGAGCCGAACGTGGGAATGTTAGAGAGATCGAAAGTGATTTCACGGAGTTAAGTTTTTACACGTCATACCAAGCAGAAGTGATTATTTCGTGTCTCAGGGAACTTGCCCCCTAGTTTGGGTGACAGAGCAACCCCACTGGCTCGTTAAAAATGTACACGTCGACATGTTTAATAAAATAGATAGGTTTTCAAATTCCCTTTGCTGAAGTCTCATTTATCTCCAAACCAAAAGCATTTCGACACCCGGCCGGGAGTTGGCGAGCGGGAAAGAAGAAAGCAACATTATTATTATGGAATTGACTCCGTTAAGTAAAAGACCTCCCAAGAACGATGGAGAAATACGAGAAAAGAAGCTGTTAGAATAGAACTTTCGGTTACATCTAACCAGCACAACTCTAACTTGATGAGATCTTGACGTCAGTCTAGTACTGCGCTTAAATTTTAAAATTTTAGGCACCATATTGAAGATCTCATCCGAACAATTGCCATGAAAGTATTTATAGAAAAGACACAGAGAGGCAACCCTACGGCGGTGGGAAAGTGACTGAAGCCGAGATGCCAGATCATGACGAATAATATTGCTGATTCTTCTTTGGATTTTATCAAGGAACTCGAGGTAAATAGAAAGCGTTTCTCAATTTTTAACGAGTCTTTATGTATACAAATGTTAGGGGGCGTTATAATTGTTTACTTTCTTATAATTTCCCTCCAACATATCCAGTAACCCTACACGCACACCCGGTAACAGGACTGATGATGAGAATGATGTTGATAGATTTGGGGTCAAAGACCTTGCTGAGGTTTTCTCTCTTTACATTGACACTAAAACTTTCGCTTGATGATAATTGCCTTTGGCATGAAATTCGCAGAGAAGCCGTATAGTAGAAGCGAGGCTTCTGATATTATTAAGAGACATGAGCTGAAAATTATTTCAAGGACACAGCATTCCGAAGAACCGCCATATTGGAGCTGATGTGAGGCGTGCGCGGGAAAAATGCCCGAACCCGTTGCTTGGTAACGGAATCATATATTCCATTGGATGTGCGCTGTAATGGATATCGGCTCCGAATAGGAACTTGGAGAGACGGGTTCGAATTCCAGTTGAGTTTGTTAGGTTTATTTATGCGCAAAATATCCTTGGAAAAGGTATGGATCCGTTTCTTCTCCCTCCTCCTATGGGTTAAATAGAAAGACAGACTGGGTTCTATTTACATTGTTCGAACAATGTTAATAATGTAAATAGTTACAATACCTCATTTTAGAAATACAGATATACCCTGAAGAAGGCCGGAGCTTACAACAACCGAAACGTCATGAATATAACAAAGATGAGGGAAAAGGTCCAAACAATGTCAATAGTGAAAATAGTTAAAATATCTCATCTCGGAAATACAAGACACATCCTGAAGAAGGCCCAAAGTCGTGAATAAGACAATAGAAATGAGAACAAAAGTCCGAATGATATAAATAATTCCAATAACTCACCTCAGAAATATAAACAGATCCTGAAGAAGTCCGGAGCGTACATCGACCGAAATTGTCGTGAATATGACAACAAAAATGAGGACACCAGTCCGAACGATGTAAAAGATGAAAATAGTTAAATTACATCATCTCGGAAATGTAAGGCATATCCTGAAGAAGGCCGGATCACAGCGGCTGAAACGTTGTAAATATGACAACAAAAAAGGCCAAAGCGTACAACTGCCGAAATGTCGTAAATATCACTACAAAGATGATGACAAAGGTCAGAACAATGGAAGTAGTGTAAATAGTTACAATACCTCATCTCAGAAATATAGATAGATCCTGAAGAAGTCCGGAGCGTACATCGGCCGAAACGTCGTGAATATGACACCAAAAATGAGGACAACAGTCCGAGCGATGTAAATAATGTAAATAGTTACAACACCTCATCTCAGAAATATAGACAAATCCTGAAGAAGGCCAGAGCGTACAACTGCCGAAACGTCGTAAATATGACTACAAAGATGATGACAAAGGTCAGAACAATGGAAATAGTTTAAATAGTTACCATTACTCATCTCAGAAATATAGGCAAATCTAGACTGGCTTCTATGCCCTTGGCAATTATTCTACTGCGGAAAGAAATGGTAACATAATGCGGGAAAAATATTCTGCCTCGTCAGTCATGGATGGAAAGAGACGTGATTGCCCAAACGTGTATCACGTATGGCACTTTACTGATTGATATTTCCTTAAAACTCGTCAACGACACAGATAAATAATTACCGCACGTCGGCAGTAATTATTTATCTGTGTCATTCACAGATAAGCGAGGCATTGTTTTCATTGAAATTAGTGACAGAGAAACCGTACAGTAAGATAAAATAGTTTTCCGATTTCATAAATAAATAAATAAAAATAAATTAATAAATAAATAAAGTAAAAATATTAATATAGAAATAATTGCGCATTTCGCCGCTCTGAATCATAGATTAACCAAACAAAGGCTGAACCAAATTTGAATTGTACGAAACTGCGTCTAGAATTAGATTATCATTTCTTCTATTAGGCTGTTTGGAAAGTAATTATATCTTTCACCGCTATAAATTATGAGTCAACCAACCAAGTGAAAACCAAGGTTGAATGATACGAAACTGCGTCTAGAATTAGTTTATCATCTCTTCTATCCGCCAATCTATCGTTTATAGTACATTTCAAACTTTAAATGGGATAAACTTGCAAAAAGGCAATTTCTGTTTCTCATGGGTGTTCGCTTCAAAAACTTTTGGGTAGTGTATACAGGTGCCGTGAACAACTTGTACATGTCAGCTGTTGTTTAAAATGCTTAAAAATGGCTATTGTCGGAGTTAGCTCTTCCTTAATTCTCTAATTGTTCACTAGGGGTCGCTCTCTCTCTCTCTCTCTCTCTCTCCCTCTCTCTCTCTCTACACTATAAATACTGGGCGATTTTTTGCCTCGTTCTCTTTTTACTTTGCATTTCAGCGGACGCATTTAAAAATGTGATCTCTCGCAGAGATCAGCGTTTTGTCCACTTGTGGGAAAACGCCATGAAACACACATACACGTACGTACGAACTTTCACCAAAATCCAAACTCTTATATATATATATATATATATATATATATATATATATATATATATATATATATATATATATATATATATATATTAAATTCCTTGCACCTGTCTTTGGTCTTCACTATGGACGAAGAAATGAATAATTCTATATCCTTTTTAGATGTTCATGTGGAACGAAAGAATAATATTTTCATCACTAGTGTGTTTCGTAAAGAAACCTTTTCAGGTCTTTACACTAATTGGAACTCATTTGTCCCCCATACCAGAAAAATAAATCTGGTTAAGTTCATAGGGCTTTATTAATTTGTTCCTCTAGCACACTTCAACAAGAGTTGAACAAAATTCGAGACATTCTCATCAACAATGGTTTTCCAGCCAACATTGTTGACCGCACAATAAAGCGGAAAATAGAGAATTTCAATATGCCCCCAAAAATTTGGCCCAGGTCTTTGCCCTATTTATCTGAAATTACCTTGGCTGGGCAGAAAATGTAAACTTTTGACTGATAAAGTTTCGGATGTTGTTTCTGCTACCTTCTTTTCGGCCAAAGTACGTGTTGTCTTTGGTACTCGTACTGTTTTTCCGTCTTTTTCCAAGGATCGTTTGCCCTATCATAATAAAAGTTCGATTATATATAAATTTAAATGTCAGTGCGAAGCTGAATATATAGGGCGAACATGTCTTCGTTTGGAAACAAGAATCGGACAACATGTACCCAGACACATTAGATTGAATTTAGTCGCGTTCGTGTTTCGCAATCAGCTCACGATTCGGCGATCGGGCAACACCTATTAGAAAATGAGTCATGCTCAAAACGTTTCACAATGGACTCGTTTTCAATTATATGCGTGGGCAGGTCCAAATATCATCTGTCTATTTTGGAAGCCATCTGCCTCAAATTATTTAAACCATCGCTTTCTAAACAAAAGGAGAATTTTTCACGATCGCTAAATTTATTTTTTGATATATGAGCAACTTATTTTTCTATTTTACTGCTCAGGTTGGTTCATTTAATTCATTATTTACGCATTTATTTTAATCGTAAATTTATTTTAATTTTACGTATATATATCTTCGTAAAATTTTAGACGTGTTCCAACCATATCATTTTGGCGTTCTTTTCATTTCCATTGTTTGTTTAAAATCATTTGCCAACGAAAGACCCTGATGAAGCGTTGGCCGAAAGGTACCTAGGTCCTGCAAAAAAAAAAAAAAAAAAAAAAATGGTCATACAAAAGAAATTCATTTTCTTTAAATCAATATATATATATATATATATATCACACACACACACACACACATATATATATATATATTTGAACGAAGTAGCTAAGTTGTTTTGGCTACTATAACCAAGTAGAATATGGTAGCAGTAATCGACTGGTACGCTTCGTAATCGCAGGTAAGAAGTGTAGATCAATGACGTAGTCCAATGGGCGTCGTTATAGACTTAGCTCTCCGACTAAGGCTCTGAACCTTGTACCTACACGTCCGTCGATATTTATGACGGACATAAGCCAATCATATTCCAGTGAGGGGGAACACAGGTGTATGCATATTCCATTATATCAATATATATATAGGTAAAAGGTGAAATTGTTATTCAGATTCTGTACAAAACTGGTTGTATAGACTAAAATAAGACTATTTATATTTGTTTATAATATATGTATTTTTACGAAGAAATATTAAAATTAAAACTTCGTTACTTACAATTGGATTTTCAATGTTTTTTCCTAGAAAAATAATTTGCTGTTTTACTGTTTTTACGTTAACCGGTTTTCGCTTAGCTTTTCAAAAACTTTTTTTTAACTTTATCTCCACGTGTTGACGCTTACGTTTTGAATAAATGAAAAAAATCAAGTGGTGTAACTTGCTATGTTAAGGAAAATTTGGTAGAATCTAATTATGCAATGAATTAAGTAAGTATTGGTTTGAAGTTTTTGAAGAAAAATGTTTCTTTATTAATCCGCTTTTGTTCAGTGGTTCTTTAGTCACACTGGTAGAATGGGAAGACACTAAAATTTGGCAGATTTCGTCCTCTGCATTCCTCTATATGTTGGCTAAGGGATATTTTTCTGGTGTGGGGATGATTTTTTGGCGATGAACTGTCATCCATTGCCGGAGTGACTGGCTGGTTTGGTCAATGTAATACTCATGGCAATCTTTGCGTGTAATTATGTATATACAGTGTAACCCGGATATAAGAGAGTTGTCGAGACCGGAGAAGGAGTCTCTTATATCCGGGTTTCTCTTATATCCGGGTTTCTCTTATATCCGGGTTTGGTCTATTTTATATACATTAACACAGGCTCTAATTTGGGACCAGAGAAAATCTCTCTTATATCCGGGTTTGGTCTATTTTATATACATTAACACAGGCTCTAATTTGGGACCAGATAAAAATCTCTCTTATATCCGGGTTTCTCTTATATCCGGGTTTGGTCTATTTTATATACATTAACACAGGCTCTAATTTGGGAGCAGAGAAAAATCTCTCTTATATCCGGGTTTCTCTTATATCCGGGTTTGGTCTATTTTATATACATTAACACAGGCTCTAATTTGGGACCAGAGAAAATCTGTCTTATATCCGGGTCTATCTTATATCCGGGTCTCTTATATCCGGGTTACACTGTAAAATTCTCTGAGTCACACGAGAAATCTTTTTTTATTGAATTTGGGTCCGTATTTGAAATTGATATAATAGAATATGCATACACCTGAGTTCCCCGCTCACTGGAATATGACTGGTGTCCGTCATAAATACAGAGTTTTACGACAGAGTTTTAGTCTATGACGACGCCCATTGGACTACGCCATTAGCTAATTCTATTGGTCTACAACGAGTATCAGTCAATTACTGTGACTACGACGAGTATCAGTCAATTACTGCTACCGTGTACTACTTGGTTATAAATAGCCAAACCTCCTTAGCTACTTCGATCAAATATATCCCTTTCCAGGACATATCAGAAACGAAATTCGTTATCTTCTAATAGGTAGCTACATACTCCGCAAAGAGGTCGCTTGCATTTTTTCACCTGAGGCTCATTAATTGTTTTCTGCTGTTTTGCACTCATCAGTATATATATATATATATATATATATATATATATTATTTAGTTGATAGATGTGAGTTTAGATTCTGGGTTTCACGCTTTGAAAGCGTGAAACCCAGGGTCACAAACTCACATCTATCCAACCAAATATGTTAGCTTTATCTCTGATATTGAGCGCTTTCTAATAAGTACCCGTATATAATATATAAATAATTATACATACTTATATTTATTTATATTTATATACACACACACACACACACACACACACACACACACACACACATATATATATATATATTTGTGATTTTGGTTGTTTACTTTTTATGTTTGGATGTTTTTGTAATAGGCTTTTCATTTTTTTTTGTCCTTTAGTAGGATTGATAGATTTAGTTGCATGTGTGTCTGCAGATTTCTGTGTTCTTTGGGTTGAAAGTTGAGATATAAGGTGTTGTGGATTCCGAGATGAATTCGGTCTCCAAGGAATGACAAACGCAATAATTAAATATAAGAAATAAAATGTATTTACACAATCATACAAAGAGTAATACTGTTAGTAAGTCCAGGAACGCGGTTAGTAGCAAATACAGATAGATATATACAGTCTCGAAGTAGGACTTCCTTAGAGTCTACGTGCTTGTAACTGACTTCTACAAGAGGCTACCTCACACTATCTCCGTTCGTATATTCTCTGACTCTTTCCGTATATCCTCTCACTATCCGACGACCCGACTACCCTCACTGACTGTAACTCTGGGTATTTAATGGCAGCCGTTCAAGTAACACTGGTAGAGTCCACATATGAAAAAGGGGTGGACCCCATAACATAAGGGATAACTCTTTTTTTTCTTTTTGTTTCACAGAGTGTGTGGATATTAATCTGTTTTGCTTTTTCAATGCTATTATTGATCAAACTTTGAGGGTATATTCTCTTGAGTCTTTGTTTTCATCTCTTCTATTCTGTGGTCCCTTGAGGTACTGCCTTAGACTGTTGTACATATCCGCTGGGGTAGGTCGAGTGTGATGTAGCCTGTGGCGTCTCTTTCTCAGCATGTTGGTGTTGACATCAAACGCTGATCTGTGTCTGGTTTTTATCTCTCAGCGTATCGGCGTTGACTTCAAACGCTTATCAGTGTCGTGTTTCTCGGGTCGATATATTTATCATAATTTTCCGGCTTGCATCTTCTTTAGATTCGATGTACGTATATTCGAAAAATCTTATTAAAGAAAAATATTCGCCTTCCTATAGGATTCGGATTTGCCGCCTCTCTCACTTGGCAGGAGAAAACGTTGTTAGATCTGACGTGCTTATATCGATTTAATCGCGTGGTGTATCGGCGATTTAAAAAACAAAAAGCAACCCCACTCCCAAAACGGAGCTTCTACTCAAAGTATGGGTATTCACTAAAATAACGTTTACTTGATATATATATATATATATATTTATTTATTTAAAAATATGATTCCAAAACGCTACATAAGAAGTCTCATGTTTCAAAACAAGATCCGAAAACTTCAATATAATTATTTAAATTAAATTGAGTTAAAATAAGCTCTGTTCCATCTTCTAGCGAAATTTTTTTGGAATAACGTATATCTGAAATTTACGTGTATTAAAAATTGAAATCAAAATTTCCATGGTAACAGCTAGGGCGAATTGTTTAAGTTGGGCAGGCGGGTGTTGGGTGTTAATAATAAGTATCAGTATAGAGTTACTTTCGTAGATGTCAAGTCAGGGAAAGGTTGGGGTGTCTAAATTTGAAACGGAAGATGTATTAACCCTCGTCTAGTTTGCATGTCTATGGAGAATTATTTATATTTTTATTTTATTTTTTTATGAAAGGGATTTGTGCATATAAAAAAAAACTGTCGTAACGTTTGTTTTTTGACGACTTCATAAAGGGTTATCTTTTATATTATTATTATTATTATTATTATTAATAGAAATCTTATAAGTATAAGAAACTAAACTCGCTCGGAAAACCTTCGGTATCTTGATTTGCAAATAAACAAGCCAATACCAAAGAAAGAACCAAGAACATGTACGATAACCGAAAATAATCATCTAGCATGCAAGTCCAAGACCCAAAGAAAAAAAACCCGATGCGAGTACGCAAAATAACTAAATAAAGTGCTCAAAACAGTGAGTAAAGCAGACCTAGTTAAACCTAGGTTTAACTATATATATATATATATATATATATATATTTACCGACCTGAGTGTTCGAGAAATTTCGCAGAAAATATGCGTTCTACGGAAACTGTCATTTCATCTAACGTGTAATAATATTTAACTTCAGAGATGTGGTGAGATTCGATATATATATATATATATATATATATATAGAGAGAGAGAGAGAGAGTGGTAAAAACATATATACCTTTTTCTGTCTCCCCCTTTCTTTTATCTTTTTCTCTTTCCTCCCTTTTAATTGTTTATTATTATTATTATTATTATTATTATTATTATTATTATCTCTTACTTTTCTTACATTTTGATTTTGTTTTCCGCTTCTTTAAAATTATTAAATCTACAAACTTCCTTTTGATTTGATTTTATCTTGTGTTGAAAAGCCTCGGAATTTTTCCTTAGAAGCTGAAATGGACATTCATATGGGGTATTGAGTTTCATTAAATGTAATCTATCTATCTATCTATCTATCTATCTATCTATCTATCTATCTATCTATCTATCTATCTATGTATGTGTGTGTGCAGATATGTAGAAAAATAGGAAAGACACGTTAGGTAAATAACCCGGAGTTCTTTGTTTTTATTTAAAAAAAAAAAAAACAGTGCTCCCTACAGAAGTAGAGCTTAAATTATATTTATCTTTTGAAAAAGGAATCATATTCAAAAATATATATATATATATATATATATATATATATATATATATATATATATATATATATATAAGAGAGAGAGAGAGAGAGAGAGAGAGAGAGAGAGAGAGAGAGAGAGGGGGGAGAATTGATAGCCATATATGCAAAAAAATACTTTTTGTGACGTACGGTGCCCGTTAATAATTAAGTATAACTCAAGACTTCAATGTTAAATAAAACAGTATTTAATTACAACCGCAAATAAATACTTAACAAGAACAAAGAAGTAAAAGTCAATCAAAGATAATTAACCATTTCAGTGAATACATTTTTAGTAGCGCGGCTCGGCTTAACGTCCGGTAAATCCTAAATTAAAACCCAAATCATCGATGCACAATAATTCACACTAATTCAACTTGATAGTTCCACTCAATAGTCACTCAATAATCACTCCAGTCAGTAGCCTGACACCGCTATTTATACACCAGAGTGTCATGCTCGAATCTCGGTCTCATTTTTTCCTATATGACAATAATAGATCAAGTTAATGACATTATAATATTAACACCAGCACTCAATATGCGATATTTTAGATATATTCTGAAATTATGAATACTGCAGTAATGTTCTGAAATGCCTATAAAGGAACAGTTATTTTCAAGCTTTAATGCGCGCGCGACCATGATATTATAACATAGAAAAAATTCCATAATGAATAATTATTTCACGTTCTAATGAACACTCAACACATTGTCAAACATTTTGCTTTTAAAAGCATAATGAAAAAATTACGGTAATGGACAACAACGCACAACTTTGTATAAACACTTATATTAATGAACAACATATAGTTTTGTATTACTTGCACCCCTGAAGATGATCTTGGAAAAAGATCGAAAATACTTGGGAAATGAAAATAAAATAAATTTAAACAGCTATAGCAAAGCACATTTCTCTTATCCTTCAACATCAATACACGGAATGTTATTCGTGAGTATGAACGGATTTTGTTAAAAATTAGTAGACATAATATCTGTAATTTATTCAATCAGATATGCCTATATATATATATATATATATATATATATATATATATATATATATATATATATATATATATTAGTGGAAAACATACATACATATGCAAAATATATAAAAATATATAAATACCCATACATGTATATTTTCAGAAAAAAATTTCCAAGAGGAAGAATCCAGGGAGAACTCAATGTCTAGGACAGAGTAAGGATATAATAAAAAGGCTTAAACATTAATATTCCATGGTCATAATTTATTCCATTGGAATCGTAAATACGATTCAATTCATCAGACCTACAAATTCAAAATGAAAACAAAAAACCCACTCCGGAAGTGGAAACAGAATTTAGAGAAATTGTAAATATGAGGAGGAGGGAGATTGAACCTTAACAGAGAGAATTTTATGTGCGTGTGTGTGTGTGTGTTGTCTTTTTACAATTTAATATATATATATATATATATATATATATATATATATATATATATATATATATATGTTGTTTTACAAAAAAAAATTATTACAAAAGCAAATGAACGTACGAATATGTTGACATTGTTATAAAACGAGGATTAGATATTGAATAATTTTTAACCAATTTAATCCACCTCTCTATGGGCGCCATTAGTTGCATGAAGCACATCAAGACGAGGCTCGATTTCTTGCCATGTTGACTGTAGCATAGTGTCATCAATACACGATAGCATAAAAAGAAGTCCAGGAGAGTGATACCTGGTGAACGAGGTAGCCAGGGAATTGGACAATCCCTTCCAATCCACATGTCTTGAACTCTTTCATCAACAGAATATCTGAAATACACAAGGGCAATGTGTATCTTTGATAACTAGAGTTCATAAAAGAAATCTGATTGCCTTTGTAATATATATTTAAAACCGTAAAAAGAGACTGTATGGACACCTATATATATATATATATATATATATATATATATATATATATATATATATATGTGTGTGTGTGTGTGTGTGTGTGTGTGTGTGTGTATGTGTGTTTGTGTGTGTATGAGGAATCTAAATGAAATAATAAAAACGAAGGAATATTAATATATATATATATATATATTAATATATATATATTAGTATATATATATATATGTTAATATATATGTGTGTGTGAGGAATCTAAATGAAATAATAATAAAAACGAAGGAATATTAATATATATATATATATATATATATATATAATATATATATATATCAATATATATATATATATTAATATATATGTGTGTGTGAGGAATCTAAATGAAATAATAATAAAAACGAAGGAATATATATATATATATATATATATATATATATTAATATATATATATTAATATATATATATATATATATATTATATATATATATATTAATATATATATATATATTAATATATATATGTGTGTGTGTGTGTGAGGAATCTAACTGAAATAATAATATTAAAAACGAAGGAATATTAATATACAACCCAGTGTGTCTGAAGATTTTAATTTTTAATATTTTTTATTGCTCATATATATATATATATATATATATATATATATATATATATATATATATATATATATATATATATGAGTCACATACGTATTAATAAAATAATCGGACAACTAAATTATGCCGATTAAAAACATTTTTTAAAGTAGAAATTTATTGCATGGCGTCTTCTTTTTTTTAATTAAAAATGCAAAATGTTAACTGATTTTTTTTTTCTCATGAAAAAAAAATCAGTTAACATTTTGCATTTTTAGAATTTATTTATAAACTGCGATACAGGAATTCCCAATACGATAACATCGACTATTATTTTTAAATGTTTAAAGTCACATAGAGTTATTCCCCTTGCACTGGCCGCTGAATTTACAGACGAGATATTTTTTATGCGTGTATTTTTGGCATTTATTTTTTGGCATTTATTTTTTTCTATTAAATTCTATTAAAAAAAAAAAATCTTCCATTTTTGGATCTTTGTCTTCATCAGTTTCCTAGCTAATTCCATGCTGAATATTATAAGAAGTATTAATACTATTATTATTATTGGTATTATAAGAAATCTTTTTTGATAAGCATTTGTTTGTTTTATAAGCACTTGACAGGTCATGACGAATCAGTTAGGACAGGGACGTCCAAATCGAGGCTCACTTAATATTTTCAAGCAGTCCTAAAATCATTAGGCATCTTTTCATTTACTTTAGTAACGTATGTCAAGGAAATCATTCCCAGATTGTGCTAATAGGTTCACTTCCCCATTGCAGTAAAAGGAAAAGAGGCAAAGGCCTTTGGCGAGACATAGCGGCTGGGGTGTGAGGCAAGAGCCAGAACTATAATAAAAATTATTTTTTTTAGCTTATCTAGAAAACTGTTATCCACGTGGGGTAGTGCATACTTCTGTGAAGAATTCTTTTCGTGCTTGAAAAACATTCAAAACTGTTGAAAGAAATATTTTGAGTGATTCCCATTTAATTAACATTCTTAGAATAAAGACTAGTACTATACAAATAATCAGAGAGCCGAGTTCGAATTCCAGTCGAATCCATTACATTCACTTACGTGCTAATACCCTTGGGAAAGGTATGAATCCTCTTCTTCTCCCCTGATTTATTTATTAACACAAACAAAACAATTTATTATAATTTATAATAAAAAGGAGGCCCTGTGGAGTAATGGATAGCCGTTCAGATTGAGGAATCAGAGATCCGAGTTCGAATTCCAGTCGAATCCATTACATTCACTTACGTGATAATACTCTTGGGAAAGGTATGAATCCTCTTCTTCTCCTCCCCTCATAGCTATGGGTAAATAGCAAGACAGGCTGGGTTCTATAGCCTTGGATGGCACCTGGTCTAACGCAGAAAGAAATGGCAGCGGGAAAAAATCTGCCTCGTCAGTCATGTATCAAAAGATACATGATCGGCTAAGAGTGTATCACGCATGACTCATAATTGACTGACTGACGTGCTAATACTCTTGAGAAAAGTATGAATCCTCTTCTTCTCTCCCCAGCTATGGGTAAATAGCAGGACAGGCCGGGTTCTATAGCTTTGGATGGCAACTGGTCTAACGCAGAAAGAAATGGCAGCGGGAAAAAATCTGCCTCGTCAGTTATGTATCGAAAGATACATGATCGCTTAATTGTGGATCACGCAGGGCACATAACTGATTGACCATAAAAGCAGAGATTGACAATATTATAAAAGAAAAGTAATGTCAAAACTAACATTGGATTTATTTTATTTTGTGTATATATAATTTCTTTTTTTTTTAATATAGTATTTTTCAATATATATATATATATATTATATATATATATATATATATATATATATATATATATATATATATATATGAAGAAAAAATTTGGAAAAAATAAACCAAAAATCCTTAAATGCAATTATGTTGTTTAAAATGAATGAAATGTCGACGTCTGACGTTTCGGTTTAATAAACCTTCTTCAGGACAATATTCATTAAAATACAATTCAGTTATTTTTCTTCATTCTGTCGGATCTATATCCATTTACATCTCACACACACACACACACACACACACACACACACACACACACACACACACACACACACATATATATATATATATATATGTTTTTAAAATTTGATATTCACAACGTTTCGAACTTTTTAAAAGGATATTTATATAAAGTACATTTATGGCCCCGGTGAATATGCCTAAATTTCTAATTTGGCTCATTGGGAAAGTGTTGGACAACCCCGAGCAAGGATAAACGGAGGATATGATTTATTTTTTTGTTTCCGCTTAATTAAAGAAAAGAGAATTACTAACAAGAAAATTAAACAGACAAAGCTATTCGCAGGA